TGGTTCGGTGGACGGGTGTCCCGGCTCCCGCTTCGCGGACAAGCAAACTTGGTGTCCAAGTATTGGAATCAACCATGCCTTAAGCTACGGAAACCTACTGTTTTTTGTAGGGTCCCTATAAAATCCATACTAGGGTTTATGGTTCATAATGAAAACCTATACAAATGTACGTAGAGTTTAAGGTGCTGCTTGGGGAGTTCTGGCTGATATAGGGGGGCATTGATCATCTGAACAGGGTTCTGAAACTCTGATTGTGAGAAGAAGCAATAACTTAAAAGTGAGCTTGGGATTTAAAGATTGATGGATTTCGGGTTTGCGTTCAAGTAGAAGGGGGTCTAGGGTCCGGGCTTGCTTCTATTTCTCTGCAGCAGGAGCATCGTATGCCCTACACTCCCTACACGATACCTATAGTCTCCATTCGAGTTCCTTGATGATTGATTAACTGATTTCTGCGGCAAAGGTCCATCCCAAGACTCATTCATCGACAGCTTGCAGCACCTAAGGCCTAGCGGCTCTAGCTGAAGCCTTCTCAACCGATCCCTCGGCAAACTTAAAGTGTCAGCTACGACAGAACCATGAAATGTCTTACAGAACCGACCCTTAGAAAAAAAGGATGACGCACAGAACGCCGAAGCACCACTCAGCTTCGGATGAACCCGAAAAACGTACCTGAAAAGTTACGGTAGAGCATGATTTCGCAACGGAATATGTCATGCAAACCAACCAAACGAGTCAGTATACATACATGCATGCATACATACATATATATATATGTATAATTGAATATGTGTATGTATGCATCTACGAAAACTATATGTGCACATATATACATATGTATATATATATATATATATGTAGATACAAGTTTCCTGAAAAGGCTTACAAGAACTATTGTAGGTACTCAGACCTTGGAGATCGAAGAAGGCGCCCTGAACCTACTTCAGTGTTCCTGAAGACCTGCCAAACCCCTCTGCCCAGAAACCCGCAAAAGGAGGTTTGGGGTTTAGGGCTTCGGTTTTAGGATTCAGGGTCTAGTTCAACTCTTCTGAGCCTTCTTCGGTTGATCAGCGCAGTACTGTCTGCCATGTCTGGGCCAGCCTTCTCACTAACGAGGAGCTCATAGAGGTGAGCAGTGGTCAATATCAAAAAATGGAGAAAAATAGCTCTGAACCCTAAACGACAAAAAACCTCAAGCCCCAAACCCCGTCCCAGAAGGGTTGTGAGGCAGAACAGAGCGCCCAACCCAAAGCTTAAAACGGCAATCCACAACATTCGGAAAAGCTCCAAAGTAGAAGAACAAGACAGAACCAAAACCTTGAACCTAAAACCTGTAGCCCAAATATCACCAAAACCACTCGAAACCCCAAACACGAAAGTCCACAGCCCCAGCCTCGAAATCTTTTAGCGATTCTAGTGTAGAGAACAGGCTCTATGTCAGTCTACAGAGGAATTTAGGGGTTTAGTGGTTTGGGGGTTTAGGGGTTAGGGTTTAGGGGTTTAGGGTTTATAGGGGTTGACATCAACCTTGTAGCCATTCTGGGTGTTCTAGTTTGGGAGCTGGGGGCCAACGCACGAAGGGTTGAAGTGTTTAGGTTTTTCGGCCTTTACATTGCTTGGGTTTAGTTGTAGGATATTGTCGGGCGTTTGGGTGCTATTCAGGGTTTAGGCGGCTTAGGTGTTCCAGATCTGGCTTACCGATCCCCGTGCCCTTAAACCCCAAGCACCGAATCCTTGTGCAAAGTCGAATCCCAGAGCCATCGGGTTTAGGGTTTATTGGGCTAAACCAGAAACTCTGTATTATCCCCTCAACATGCAGGATGTAGGGCGTTCACTAGCGTTCCCCCCCCTGATCGCCATCATCGATATGACATTCTGCAATGTACACTCAGGGCAACCCTAAAAGGAAGCCTGGATTGCACGGGGGAACCCGACACAACCCCTGTCAGGGCGGCTTGAGGATTCGGGCTCAAGGGGGTGTAGTTTTCAGGGAGTACGAATCTTGGTTTCTGAGTAGCCCCTTAATAATAAGGCTACCCTTTTTCCTGCTGTTTGGTCTCAATAAGGGAACCCTAGACTAAAAAGGGCAAAAGGGTGCCACTCAGGAACCTAGGAAGTGATAATTGAGAGTTAGGCGCGGAAAGGTGATGTTTACGTCTAGAGCGGCTGGGGTTTTACGTGCAACGAAGCTGAAAGCGGTGTCCCAGCACCGCAGCAGGAATAAGCATGCAAATGGCAGGAGAGGTCCTTTGCGTTCGGTCATCTTGTTTTTATATTAACTGAAGTGCCGACAGCACTTCCCTGCAGGCCCTATGCCCTGAACTAGAAGCCCCTAAACCCTGAAACCCTGCTCCCCAACCCTGTACAGCCGTAAGGGCCCAACCAACTGGCCTGTGTAGTATATACTAAAAAGGTCTTGAAGTACCCACATAGGAACCCCTTCAAGGGTTAAGTAATAACTATCAATCTTTCTCTCTCTCTCTCTCTCTCTATATATATACCTCTGTACATTCCTTGTGTGCATGTGTACATGCAGCCTTAGGGTGAACACTTGAAAGGACTGAGGTCCCAGGGTCCAGCGTGCAAGGATACGATTCCCAATCCGGAGCCCATGTTTGGAGTTCAAGTATATTCCTAGGGGCTGAGTACCTTGGCCCAATAAAGGTTAACCTTCTCAGTTATGGTAGGATTATATGAACCCCCAAAGGTTAAAGGTTATGTACCCAGCTACTAAGATTAAGGCTTAGGGCTTGCAGCTTCTGAAGACAAAGGCACCTTGGAAACAGGAGCGGCAGGATATGCTGTTGCCAACTCTTACGGCCCTTGCCTTGCATCCGAACCATGTTCGATGTTTACTGTCCATCCGATGCTGCTGCTAGCGATATGGGCTCGCTAAGGTTTCAGCACTAAGAATTTCTGCACACGGACAGCCGCAAGGCTCCAAATAGCTGACATTCATGTGTCTGGCCTACCAAACACCAAACTCGAGTAAAACCACAAGAGCCCAAAGAAGCAGCCCTCGTTCGTCGCAACAAGCACCGCCCCCTATATTCTCTCGCAGCCGAAATCCTTCAACCCCAAAATAGAGTGCTCTTGTATTGCAACTTGGACTCTGAATTTGTCCATCTTGAAGTGAGACCATCCTTGTCTTTGGGACCCCACGCTGCTCTATTCGAGTCCAAACTCTTTTCGAACTCTGCGAGTTGTGTGCGTTCTCCACACACGGGGGGATTTCACGTACTTGTAAGTATAAGGGCCACATCAACATATCGACACCCCAGGTTGACATACCTTGGGGTTACGTAAGGATCGCTATTGATGCCCCAGGTTACTATTCCCTGTGCCAATGCCTGTTGCCTAATATTAGCATCCCCATGTAAATCCTCCATGGACAAGCCTGTATACTTGAAGAAATAGGGCTCTCTCAGTATATGCTACTATGGGAACAGTACTACGAGAATATATGCGGCAACCGAAGGTTCAAAACGATTACCACTCATACAGGCTCCTTGTGACCAGGGTGCGGTGGCTTTCAGGCGTTGGGGTTTCGGGTCGAGGGCTTAGGTTTGGGGGTTAGGGAGACGGATGCTACTGAGAAGAGATCGAAGATTTATTGCAAGCGAGACAAGCTTCACCGGCTGCGACTTTGCCTGGGTGTCTAGCAGGGACGGCAACAGTGCACGGAACAAGGCCCTTCTACGAGCACGGGGGAATCACCTTGCACAAGGGTTCTTACCCTACTAAAGCCGCACTAAAACCAAACTCTGCACACATTTAGAAATGAAAACTCAAACATCAAGAACCAAAAACCCTCATCTCGCCAGGACCAACAACTGAACTCCTACAAGCTGCACCCTCCAAGGCTGTAAACATCTGCAAACCATACACCCAGAGCCTCTAGTTGCTCTAGAACCCCAGAACCCCTAACACCCTAAAACCCTGGAATCCCATAGCCCCGCCAGCTTCACAATGACCTGTCCCTTTGTGGCAACGGGATCCTTCACCAGCACCCCCATACGACACAGACTCGAGCCCGATCCCCCAAGTTCATGCAACAATCCCAGAGGGTTCATATATGGGGGGGGGGGGTTCCAAAAATTAGGGGTACCTTATTTAGGGGTCCTTACAATACGGATCCTACTATTTGGGGTACTATATTAGGGTCCCCTATTTTCGGAAATCCCCATATATACTACCACTATGGAATTGGGCCCCCCCAAAGACCATTCTCATTAGGGTGTTGGGGGCCTAATTCCAGAATAGTAGTATAGAAGGACCCTCAAGGAATGAAATCGTACATCCTCAAGCCCTTCAACCCTAAACCCATACCCTGAACACTAAACCCTGCTGTTTTCGTAGGTTCATATCCTAAGCCCTAAACCCTAAATCCTCAAGCTTACCCCCAAGGGTCGGAAGCACCCACATGGGTGGTTGTCAGAATTATGGTCCCTTTTTGGATCCCTAATATGATACGGCACCTAATATTTAGGGTACCCCAAAACGGGACCATAATTTGGACAACTACCCATATAGTAGATTCCATAGTCGGAACTACCTTCATGTGTCGGGGAAGTATTCCCCGGAACATACCTGAGAGCCATTGGGCAAGAAGCCGTAATGATCCCTTGAAGGAATCCGCAACGAAACCCTGATTAGAGGATTCCTCAAACCATCTGCCGCAAGACCCCCCTAAAAGACCCGCTTTCCGAACAAAAAGGAACCCTTAGAACACCCTCAGAGGAAGCCGCAAAAAGAACCCACTAACACGCCAATTTTAAAGGACACCATCCAGGAAACCTGAACTGGGTTGCAGTTTTGGGGGCTCTGAAATGTACTTGCGAACAGGTACCTCTATATAGGAACCGAAACCTTGCAGTTGCTCAGGGCTCTGAAAAGTACTTATGAACAGGTACCTCTTTTGGAACCATAGAGGGAAATTAACAACTTTCCCCAAATTGCCACCCATATTTAAACTTGAATGCCATCAGAGACACTGAGGAGCCTTAGCGCGCCAGCGGCGGGCGCGGGCTGCGCATGGAACTGCAGTCGCTCCGACAAGGTTTTTGGCTTTTACTGACAGATTTACCAGGGATTGCTGGGGTTGTATGTATGGGAGTTTGGTATACGGTTTGGATGTTGACAGGCTTGGCTTCTTCGGGTCAGGGTTAGGGTTTTGATATGCCTGTTTAGGGTCTACGGCTTGGGGGTTTGATAGGCCGGGGAGAGTTGTGGGTTTCAAAACAGTCTTGAGAGTCTGGGTCTCTCAGTAGCGGTCACTGCAACTTTAAGATACCATCCTCCGAAACTACAATCTTCTTCGCTGAAAGACCAGCCCAACATGGATTCCACGCCCTTCGGTGCGCTTTTGCTTAAAGTACGGTTGATGATGTGAATCCTGCATTACCCATAATAAGGAATAGACCATAATTCCCATAGTTTAGGGTCCTTTAAGGTAATGCAGGATTTATATCATCAACAATATTTGTTTTTTGGGGGTCCCTAAACTATCATTATTATTATTATGATGATTATGATTATGATTATGATTATGATTATTATTATTATTATTATAGTATGATGGGCCCCAACTTGGTTCGCCAGCAGCCAGAGTCTGAAAGACGGTGTTTGGATCAGCGAAAACTTTGTCGAACACATTCGACAGTGCATGATCACTCTAAACTCCTATACCCGAAACCCTAAAAGCCTTAACCCCTAATCCCTAAACTAAACCCGAAAAGCTCTAGTCTTGGTTTCAACGAACCCATCGACAGCGTCTGCCGTGGCACTAACTTTGCTCTTTCCGACAAGTTTTTGTTCCTTCGCTCCATTGGGCTTGCATGCAAGAATGCACAAGTGGCCTCATTATGAACACTTGACATCAACATGTATGCTTGACATCTGATATTAAGCTTCATTTTATCTTCAGCTTGGGGCTGATAGTTTGGGCTCTTGTGCTTTCTTTTGACTTCTGGTGTTTCATGTGCAAGGTGTGAGCTTGGGGAGTACCTGCTCTGGACTCAGTGATACTTTTGCCCTGTCTTACATGGAGACCACAACTTCAAGTGTCAACAATGGGCAAAAGAGGGCTTAACACATTCATTGTTGAAGGCTTGGTCGACTGCAGTAGTACAGTAGAAGCTACTGTAGCCTTACAAGCTTACAACCGCACTCCAGCACCATAGAGCCTTGCTTGAACCCCATCGCAGCCCTGACAGATTCATTCGGCGGCAGACGGTGGACCCTTGTCCCCAGACTATGGACCTTAACCTCCCTGGCACCTGCAAAATCTGCAAAGCATGAACCCCGAACCCCACACTTTACCAAAGATCCTCAGCACTTGAAACCTTACGGCCTTACGACTTACACCAGGCAAATGAAACCGAACCTTTGGCTCCAGCTATCTACTTGCGGGAGAAGATACTCTGCGATTGCAGGGTCATTTCCTACTACTTTGTGGGCTTGCGAACACTGAATCCCAGGTCCTAAACACTACACCCTGTGACCTTGAGGACCCCCTGCCTTTTGCTCGTGGACCGAGGCGTGGCTGTCTGCGAAGCTGCCTCATGCCAGGGTTAAGGGTTACAGTAAACCCCATAAAGCTGGAAACTGGATAAAGGCCACATAGTGCTGGGATTCCCTAAACATTACTCTTAAGGATGGAGGCTCTGGGGTTTCCAACTTTTGGGCTTCTACTGTAGGGGGGCTTCAAAAGTAGAAAGGAAGTAAAAGGTGACAAAGCCAATGCAACCACAAAATGAGCTCTTTCTCCACAAACCGAACAAATTGTAGTAACAAGAAAGCAATCGAGAGTCTACTGACGGGCTTCACAGATGTCATCTGCAGAGAGAGTTCCAGCTGCAAGACCTTCTTGTAAATCAGGCAGTAGGAGAAGCAGCTGGAGCCACACATGTGGCCAAGCTGCGAATGCCCATGCTTCCGGGGAAGCACGCGTAGCAGAAATGCCACACTTCACTGATAGCTCCTGAAACTTCGACTTGTCTTCTGCCCCCATGAGCAAAGGCAATGGCCTTTTACACTTTCGTGACATGCCCATGGAACTCAGTCAACCGTTTGCCCAAAGGCTTCTTGAATCCAGTCACTCATGTCTGAACATCTTCTTCACCTGAGCCTTTCCGTCCATCCTTACGTTGAGACAGCGCGTTATCCGGAATTGTCGCAACCTTCGGGACGCCCTCCGGATTGGGGCTTAGGGCTGAGTACAAGCCTGGGTTTAGGGTCAGGGCTTAGGGCTTAGAGTCTAAGGCTTTAAAGGGTTTGAGGTTTGGGGTTTTTAGCACTCCATGTAGCGCTCCATGTACACTATATATATATATATATATATATATATATATATATATATATATATATTCAGGTTCGAAAACTACAAGTAATCCCTACTTGGGGCTATTTGGAGCGGTCCGCTAGCCTCAAGCAGATATTACTCATAAATGAGTAGCATCCGCTTGAGGCTATGTGGAGCTTCCCTACGAGCGTAGTAGAATCCCAGAGCCCCCAAGACAAGGAGTATATTCCGCATTTTGGGGCTCTAGCTTCGGTTGCGTACCCCTAAACCCTCACTCTAAACTCTACCCTAGGGCTTAGGATTTAGGGGTTTAGGTTTGGCGTTGTCAAGCATGAGCCTGAACTCGTAATCCTTGAAGCACTCACTACACCTGACGTCGTTGACTCTGAAATCTACAAGCCTTGGACCCAAGATGCTTTTATACTAATAAGGTGAACTCCAAATCATGCTTTGCCCCCAAAACCCTCAACCACAGAACCCTGAACCTTAAAAACGAAGATCCCCACGAGTTTAGGGTTTGGCGTTGGGGTTAACTTCGTAAACCTTGGGCACGTCTGGTGCAAATGCTCCCCAAAGGCTGAGCCCAGCTTCAACGGAGAAAACTCGCGTCTGACACCGTCATAAACACACCCGGGCCTAGAAACCCCAAGCCTCACAAACCCTAAACCCCCAACAATCCTAAACCACCAAAATCCTAAACCCTAAAACCCCAAAGATCCGAACACCTAAACCCATAAAATCCTAAACTCCGACCACTAAAAATCAGAAGCCCGACGTCCGAAGCATCCTACACCTTGCAAGCTGTCGGCCCTGTAAGCCCTCGAAAAATCGAAGCCCACTTAACTCCAAAGACAGCTGGGGTTTTCTTTTATAAGGTTTAGGGTTTAGACTCCGAACACTACGTAGAGTTTCGGGTTTAGTGTTTGGGGGCCTATTGAATTCAACCTCTATATATCAAAGACCCCAAAGAAATGTGCGGTCAGGCGTCTGGCGTTCCCCCCTCCCTGGTATGGTCTGGTAGGGGTGGGGCTGGCGGAGGGGAAGCAGAACATAAACCGTCTACCTTAACAGCCCTAACATAAGCCCTTGTCGATTCGACGCCTTATACCTTGTAACCATAAACCCAAAACTCAAAAGCCAAGCTAAACCCTAAACCCCACAACCACCCCACAGGGGGAAGCAGACCCCACACCCCACACCACAGGGGAGGGGGGGCAGACCACATATCCGGACCATTGATCTTTGGGGGGGGCACGGAGAGCGTATATAATATTCGTTTAGGGTGTCGGCATTTGACCCATTGTAATGTTAGTATAACGAACAGCCACAAAGGAAATATCAGTAACTGTTCAAGCACCTATTCCCTTATTCCTTAAACCCTGATCCCTCGTGAATCATCGACCTTCTCATTCCGGAGGCTCAGCAATGCTTCGAGACGAGCACATCGGTCCTTCTGCAACAGTTTGAGGTTTAGGATGGCTTGACGCTTGGTGAGGTAGTATAGGAGCCAAAATAAATACAAGTCGTGTTTTGGGGTTCCTACTTATTCTTCTTGAAAGCTTTCATTCTTTCAATGGTTACGACTTCTGTGTTTACCATATTTTCTGCCCCAACACCCTGTTCTGCTGTCTCAAGTCTCAGGTTGTCATCCTCGGCACCTAGCTTGTGGAGCTTTCCCTCGACCCCAAGCCCTACACATCCCTACAGCATTTATGTTTAAGTTCAGGCAACACACGCAGCAGCCTGCATGTCCGCTGAAAGCCAAAAGGTTGTGCCATGTTGTAGGAATACTCTTCCTAGCCTTAAACCCCAAACCCTAGACCCCTAAACCCTGAACCAAGAGTTGACAAGTGAACAATCCGCCAGGCTGAGAGGGGCGTGGGGGCCATACGAGTTGGATTAAATGAAAGGCTTGCGCATTGTGTCCACCTCTGGGCTTCATACCACAACCCTTGCGCATCATTATCTTCTCTATAGTGAGATTGAGGCTTCAAGCCCAAACTCATAGTGGTAAACCCACACGGATGTGGTCCTGCAGAATGACCCGTCGCCACCCATCCAAAGCCCGACCTTGACAATCTCTGGCCTGCTCGCCTCAGAAATGCACCGGTCTTCTTTCAAAATTGTTCTCCCCTCAGTGTCTGTATACACTTATAGACGAGTATGCTTATGGAGGCCCCTAGAGTAAACACTTCAGGTGTGGAGTCTCACTAGGGTACTCCAATAGGACCAGCAAGAGAAGCAATGAATGAGGAAGTAGACATGTGTATGTATCTACATAGGTGCATATAACCATCTGGTAGATGTGCGTATGTGTATACGCATCGTAGGTGTCTATGTCTATGTCCATAATATATATATATATATACATATATACACACACACGTGTGTATATGTGTGTATATATGCATGTACGTACAAGCTAATGTGTATGTATATGTAAACGTGCTTTTATATATATATATATATATATGTATGTATATATATATATATATCGATGCGTTTGCATAAATCAGAGACAGGTTTAGATGTATTGAGAGGATATAGGTATGAATATAAATACAAATGTAGGTGGCTGTGCGCGGGTGTGTGTGTGTGTGTTTTGGTGTAAGCTTGTGTGTAAACATATGTATATGTTCGTGACCGGCCGTATGTACAAATGTTTACGATTTAGGTTGTACGATGCAGGCTTTGATCGAGCTTACCAGGCGAAACCCGCATCGGCGCGGCGGCTATCCTTGAAACCAGCACCCGAAGTGGCACTGCGCAGGAAGATTTCGCTTCACATGCTTCTCCCATCCAAACTCAAAGCCGTAAAACCGATATCGGCATCCCGAACCCTCAAGCCATGCACCGACGCCGAAACCCTAAATCCAAACCCGCCAAAACAACAATGTCAGCCCGAAGCCCTTGTAGAACCTAAGCCGAACAAAGGAGCCCCATAGACCCTGAAAGCTGATATTCCCCGCTTGGTGCATGGCCTAATGCCGCCGTAAACAGCAACTTGCCTGGGGTCGGGTCACGGTCTCTTCAGGTGTTGTGATCGGCTTTTGGGATTGGACTTTATGCCAAACCCTCAGCCCTAAACTTTAGGGGGTAGGTCTGAGGGAGGGTCTAGGGTTTGGGGATTATTAGGGTTCAGGGCTTTAGGGTTTAGGGTTTGGGGTTTAGGGTTGAGGATATAGGTTTCATCTCCCCAATGAGGCTGTGGGATATCTTTATATGGAGGGTAGGTGCAAGTTGCAAGTTACAAGGGACGAAGAGAGCTGAATGTGCCGAAGATGTTGGTGGTGGTGCATCTGCATTCAGGGCTCTGAATCATTGCTACATGAAGTTGCTACACGAGGAAAAAGAAATGCTAGAAGATAATGATGACAACGATGAACTGGTAATGAGGATACTGGCGATAGCGACGGTGATGATGTTGTTGGTGGTGATGCAGCGAACCGGGGGAAATGAAAGCTTGTCCTAATGTATGAACCTGATTAAGAAACCCTGGGCCTATAACCCCACAATAGTAGCATTCATACAAGGAACTCTAATATAAGGCCCAAGGTTTCTTAATCAGCTTCCTACATTACAACTTTTTAGGATCCTCTGACTACTTTCCCTTCGACGCCCTGGACCCTTGAGCCGAGCGCCGAATTCCCTGCTCATGCTAGAAATTTCCCAAAGGCTCCATGTCCTTTGTAGGAAATATTTAGGTATAGGTACTTTGAGGAACAAGTATAGACTATATGGGTACATGGAGCCTTTGGGTTTGAGTTCCTGGACTGCAGCAGTTCATTGCAGTACCGCGCAGGTCTGAGCTTAATGATACATATATATATATATATATATATATATATATATATAGGTAATTATACATATTTACATTTAATTCGGTAGTTTTACGAGAAAGGCTTCGAAGGTTTAGGATCTATCGATAGCCTAAATTTCAATGAACTTTTCCCAATCCCTGAAGCCGTAAACTCTGATTGCGAAGGTGGCTGCGACTTTCCCGCGCTGCCAATGCGTCGTCGGGGAAATCCGTTTGCCTGGGCTACGGGTTGTAAAGATTCCGAAAACGGCTGGTGAAGCTTCCTTTAAAGGGGGGACCTATAAGGATTCCTACAACAGCGAGGCTTCATTTGCTGCCGCGTTTCCGGATTCGGTCATTTATCCTTGTGGCTTACGTAGAAGGCTATTGCGCTAGAGAGGCGAGAACATCAAGGATGGATCGGATTGCGAGGGCTCTGGCATACGGGTCTTCTACGCAGGAGGGTTCAAACTAAGTATAAGGGCTCTTGATGTCGAAAGTGAGAAATTTCGGAGACTTCAACCAGTAGTCCCTGCCTTGATACTACCCGAATAGTTCTCGTACAGGTTGAATTATCGAGGCTTGTATAATACGATGTGTCGATTTCAACGGCCAAATCGACACCTAGTATGATTAATCTGGGTACATGGACCCATGTTTGCGATCGGTCCTTTTGCTTGCAGTCAAGCTGCACGCACCTTTCCGCCGGACTGGACAGCTGGAGCCTGGGTTTCGTCTTCTTGCTTTAGCGCTTCGGCCTGTTAGGGTTTAGGGTTTAAGGTTTAGCTTTATCGCGTCGGCTTGTGGGTTGAGTTAGGCTCCCAAATTCAGAATCGGAGGGCTTGAAGTCTGTAGATTTAGATTTAGCATTCAGGGGCTTAATCCTACCTAGAGTCTCGAGTGTAGTTCCTTTTGTTGGCAAGGTGCAAACAGTCGTAAGTTGCTATGATTCCTGGTTCCGAATCTATAGCTCGTCAGGCAAGCTGCCGGCTGGAGCATCTTCGCATTGAAAAACAATCTTCAACACTTGTATCAGGACATGCAACACATGGTCCACGCTGTCTTTAAGGATCAAGGCTTGGGCTAAGCAGTTTACAAGAACTAGCACAAATTACAAGCCCCTTGCAGCCTAACCAGTGAGCGGTTGGCACCATGTGAGGGGCGGACTTTACAGGTGCAATTCTCTCTGCCTGTCGGAAGTCATACCGAAATTACATGAGGATTCCACAGAACGATGCTATCATGTGTTTACGCGCTTGTAGCATGATAATACTTCAGCTGCATGCTTTGTACCCCTGGTGGCTGAAACTTACAAAAAATCATGCCCCTAAACCTCAACCCCATATCCTGAACCCGAAGCCGTAGATCGCAAAGACTCCTGTATCTGTGCTGCTGCCAAGCGACACTTCAGCCGCCCCGAGGATGGTCGGCGCGTCCTGTTGCAGAGCGAATTCAGCGTATCGGAAACCCACCATAATCACTGCTGCAAAGCAATAGGCGTTAACGGCTAAGACCAAGGTCTGCAAAGATTGCTATAGGGTGTTGTAAGCTTTTGGATGTGGAAGGATATTGAAGTACAAGGAATTCCCGAACCCTGCACAGCCAGAGCAAGCAAAACCTCTTGTGGACAGACATTCGCAAGTAGAATAAGGCTAAACAACAAGTAGACAATCCTATAAACCCTCTCAAGACGATCCTACATATAAATACCACTATTAAGGACCATAAGGGCTCCATTAAAAGGCACTTGGGGGGTCCTGGAAAATCCCAAAACTTCAACCTGCTTCCGAGCCTCCGCTGCAAGAGACTCTACGTGAGGCTCTGCAAGCTGTGAGGTCACACTGCGGGCCTGAACTTGCTTGTTTTCAGGTTCCTTTTGAAGTTTAGGGTCTGGGATTCATGGCTTTTACGAGTTGCGTTTTAGGACCGGTCTTCGCATCACAGGACGGAGCCATTAGTTAAAGGTATGTAAGGCATTGTTTAGGAATCCGGACTTTGTTGTTTCAGGGTTCCTGTAATTGTTTCTCCACGGGTCTGCAATGGACTTCGGTTCAGGGTTCCTCTTACACGTCCTAGTTACGTTGCTGTTATTTGCTCCTATGTTGCCATCTGTACTGCTACGCCGCTCTTGTGATTGGCACTCAGTACGCCGGTCCGTCAAAGAAGCAAACGGTGATGTACGCGTATACAATCAACACAGTCAGGTAGAGGCCTGAATCATTCGAATAGTATTGAATTTGTTCTATAGAAGGTCTGCAATGGGCCACCACTACTGCCCTTTCAAAGCCCTGTATCGCTGCGGATTGCCTTGCTCATTCCTCTCTTTCGTTTAGGGGGTGGGGCTGGTGGCTCAAGGTGAGTAGAAGAGGGGTTGGCATCGTAAATTAGGTTCCTGAGCCTCTCGCATTTGAGCATTCTGCAACCCCTAACAAGCTGAACCCCCGCCCCCATAAAGAACGCCACACTTGCCGCTACCACCATCATCATCACCAGAGAGGAAATAGCCATAATTAGTATCAGCATCATCAAGAATAAGTCTCCATAGCTAGTATCACCATCATCATACCGAAAATAGCCATTCTTAGCATCACGAATCACCAGTATCAGCATAAGGACGGTCCAGGATTAATTGTTTATCATTATGATTTTTTGCACCATGAGGGTCCAATCATCATAACCAAAAAGAAACTAACCATAATTAGTATCAGCATCATCAAAATCATCATCATCAAGAATAAGTCGCCATAGTTAGTATCACCATCATCATACCGAAACTAGCCATTCTTAGCATCACGAATCACCAGTATCAGCATAAGGACGAGCCAGAATTAATTGCTTATCATTATGATTGTAGCACCCTGAGGGTCCAAGCACCCAAATAGTAGGGTTTCAGGTCCCAAACCCCATACTCTGAATGGGTTTTGGTATCTAGAACCTTGCTATTCGGGTATTCAGAGCCTCTGGACGGCAGCTAATCGAACGTTTCCTAGGCCCCCGGCCGTGGAGAGTCGCCTCCGAGCCCTCTCGTCGGCCTGGCAGACTTAGGGCTCAGGGTGTTTGTAGGGCAAGGATTGATGGGTTTGGGTTTCGAGTTTAGGGATAAGGCTTTAGGGTTTAGAGTTTAGGGTTTAGTTTATATACATGGGGTGTTGAAGGCAAAGTTTGATGGGTTAGAACCGAAGGGTCCGAAGTAGGGGGCAGGGCAGTGCACTGCCACAAATAGCAGTCCCTTTGGAGGGGTTGACTTAGGCGCCACCGGCCCGCCTACAGTAAGTGAAGTATCCTCATACGCGCGCTGTAGAAGCTCGAAGGTAGTTATGCTTCGGCGTTTTCGGCTCAGGATTTTAGGAGTTCGGGTTTAGGGTGTGGAGTTTAAGCTACAGGTTTAGGGTTATAATGGGTTATTATACCCACATTTTGAGGGTGGGAGGTCTTGAGCTTTAATCGTCTATGGCCTATGGGTTCTCAGGCTGTCTAAGGATTCGTACGGCGCAGCGGAGACACGCAGGGCCAGGGCTAGCGGGTTTACCAATTTCGGGTTGAAGGTGAAGGAATGTAGGGCTTACGGGAATCGCAAACCCCGTCCACCGACATCAACCTTACATCTGAAAGCGAGGGGCCGGCAACATGGTATTAAAAATGACAGTTTTCGAGAGACCTTATAGAACTATACACATCTTATCACACCTTTCGGAACCTTGTAGAACCCTAAAAACTAAGCTTTCAACCCTAAACCCCTAAGCCCTGAACGCCACACCCATGAAGGCCTAAAGCATCCACCCTTTCAGAAATCTTGTACAAGCCTTGCAGGACCCTTAAAACCGCCAACAGACACCCCAAAACCCCGAGCGCCTAAACACCAAGCCGCCAAATCCCAACCCTCCCACCAGCCCTAAACTCCTAAACCTGCCGAAGCCAAACCCTAAAACCCTAAACCCTAAAACCCTCTTTCAAACCCTCAACCAAACCCTACAACCCTAAAACCGTAAAGCCTAAAGCCCTAACTAAACCCCTATAAACCCTAAGAGCCCTAAAGCCCTAAACCCCCAAAAAACCCTAAAGCCCTAAACTCCCTGAAGCCTCCTCGAGTCGTCTCTCGATGGCCGCGGCGGTGTTTGGCCGCGATCCGTCGAACCCTCGGGCTCTATGTGGGTAGTTCTCTTAATTTAGGGTTTAGGGTTTAGGGTTTGTGTTAAAGTTAAAGTACACTTCTCGATTTGTGCGTTTAGGGTTGAGGGCTTAAGGCTTAAGGTTTAGGAATTTTGGGTACCTTTTAGGTCCTTTCTATCTGGACCCGGGACCGTGCCCTGTAGGGCAAACCGTTTTGTTTGATCAGGTCCGTTACTTACACCACGTAGAAACCCAACTTGAAGAAACCAAGAAGCCCAAAACCCAAACCTAAAGCCCTAAACTCTAAAAGCCAAAGCCCTAAACTGTATAACCCCATTCCCTATAATTATAAAGCCTAGAGCCTTGGACTCCAAACCCTAATTAAGCCTTATGAACCCTAAGCCCCCCAAAACCCCTAAAACTTCGAGCCCTCCCTTAGCTGCCACGGCACCATCTAGCCGGGTGATCTCCAAGGGCCCAGTCGGACTTGCCGCATCCAAGCCCTGCGTCGGCTCGTTAAGCCAGCTTTCGTCAACCATAGGTAGCGGTTGAGGTTTTTTTAGGGATGTTCAGGATTTAGGGGGGTAACGGTTTAAAGTTTAGGGATGTTCAAGGTGTAGGGTTTAGGGTTTAGAAATTAATGTACAGGCTTTAACAGTTCGAATGGCATAGGACCCCCATACTAGTCTGAGGTTCGACGAGCTTTCGTGGTTATTGAGTTCGAATGGGATCCGACACTCTGATAAGTCTGGGCTTGGGAGCTTTCGTGGTAACTGCTTTGGGTGCTTTTTTGTACACCGGCCCCACATGCCAAAACGACAATGGAAATGCAGATAAGCCTCCGGTGGGAAAGCTTGCTCTGAAAGGCAATCCTACATCTGCGCTCCTCATCTACTCACGGACTAAACATCAAAATCGTGGCAAAGATACCTTGGGGCTCTGGGTCTGAAGAGCTGAAACCACCCCAAAACACAAACCCGGAAATCCTTAGCCGAACTGATTTCGGGTTTGCTCCTGTGGTGGTCCGGTGGTATCGTACGTCTTTAAGCCAAATAAACCCCATGAGCCCCAACTTTACCTCTCATCACAACCCAGGGTTCAAAAACTGCAACCCCCATACAAAGACCGACACCCCAAGCCAGCACTCGTGAAAACAAACTTGACCTCCCCCCGATCCCCACAAAGCCCCAGCGCGACCACCAAACGAAACGTAAACCCCAAATCATCAACAACAATACCCAAGCCCAGAAAACTAGGCGTACTAGCCCCTCCAAGACAAACAAACACCTTGAACAAAAAACGCAGAAACCCACACCCTGAAAACCCTGCACACCCTGTAAACCCTATAGACCCTGCAACCCGTGTAAACCCTAAACCCCAATTAACAACTAAACCCCAAACCCTAAACCCCAAGCCCTGTAAACCCTAAATCCCATACCCTAGAAGCCATATAAGCCCTAAACCCCAAACAACAACAAATTCCGCCGTCCTCGAGTCGACGTTCAAGTGCCGCCGCCTTTCGGGAGGCTTCTGCGGCCTGCGAGAAGCTTAAGGGTCTTAGTCTAGGGTTTTGTAAGGAGTAGGGTTTATACGGCTTAGGGATTATAGGATTTAGGGTTTATGGGGTCTTAGGGGTGAAGGGTTCAGGGTTTATAGGGTTCAGCGTTTGGGGTTTATAGGGTTTTTCGGGTTTAGGGTTTACAGGCTTTAGGGATCATAGGGTTTAGGGTTTATAGGGCTTAGGGTTTGATTATAGGGCTTAGGGTTGAAAGGTTTAGGGTTTATGGGGCTTAGGATTTAGGGTTTGTAGGATTTGTAGAGCTTACAGGGTTGATAGGATTTAGGGTTTAGGGCAGGGAGGCTTCTGCGGCCTGCAGGAAGCTTAAAAGTCTTAGGGTTGAAGGGTTTAGGGTTAAGAGTTGAGGGTACGAAGGTTTAGGGTTTAGGGCCGGAAGCCTTTGTTTTCTCTGCTTTGTGTCTTTCTTGTTGCGCGTGTTTGATGCTACTGCTATTGTGTGCTGTAATTAGCCTTTGCTTGTGCTGTCGCTTGTTGTCATTGATGACTGTTCCTAGTGTTTTTTCTTTCTGGGTTTACAGTAGGGTTTAAGGCTCTTGTTGTCCAAGTTGGAGCCTTTCACGAGTACATGTCACGTATAGACCTTTCCTCAGACAGCAACCCTAAACCAAATCGGATAAAGCCGAGAATGCCCGTCCTCGTGAATAGTGCCGTCTTCCGACGAGTCCTCGGCGCTGTCGGCTGCATCCTGGATGACTCTGAGCCCTTGCCTCGCCTCGTTCTTGGGTGGTTGTCAAAATTAGGGTCCCTTTTTGGGTCCTTAATATAGTACGGCACCTAATATTTCGGTGCCCAAAAAAGGACCCTAGTTTTGACAAGTACCCTTTTGTACTCCGCCTTGCCGATCCAGGCCTTCGACGCATTGGCCGCCCCCTGCCGGACCGGGACGAGCAGCTTCTTGCAGTCCCTCCCCCTAAATCCTAAACCCTAAACTTTAAACCCTAAACCCTAAACCCTAAATCTTAAACCCTAAGTCCTAAATCCTAAACCCTGTTGGCCGCAGAGAACGCCGTAGTGGAGGGTTCCCTTCTCCGCCTCTTGTTGTCCTCGATGCCAATGCCGGTGGCAGAGAAAGTCAAGTGGCTGCAAGGTCGTAGACTGCAGGGCTTAGGGCTTAGGGCCTCTGAGGAAGCTTAACGCTTTAACTCTGAAACCCCACAGAAAAAACGGGGGGGGGGGGCTTCAAAAATTAGTCGTGGTATCCTCTGTTACTCTCTACATAAGTGTAGTATCGTATGCCCCACTAGTCTAATTATTGAGGCGCCCATAATACAATCCGAACAACTTCAGTGTAATATTGCCGTGTAAGATATCTTGTAAAGGAGCCTGCTAAAGAAGCCCTATTCTCAAGATCAAGATCCGTATATAAACTTTAAAGCAATATACCATGGTTCCCCAAAGCCCTCTTCTAATTATTCAGGGCCCTTTACCCTAAACCCTATAAACCCCTTCTACATGCCCATCTTAAAATCCGTAAAAAACACTGCTCTACACCCTAGACCTTTGACCCAAACCGCCTATATAACCGTAAACCGTATATGAGCCCCAAACCCTATGATAACCCTGAGCATCATAAACCCTCCACCCAAATCCTGACAAATGCTGAGCCTTACAGATTACAAACCCTAAACGCTAAACCTTAACGCATAAACAAATCGTAAAAACCCTCGATCCTACTTCAACATAAACCCTACACCCTACACCCGAACTAGAAATCGTCAACCCGAATTTAACGCCTAAGGCCCGAACATAAACCCTGAATCCGGAAACCCTAAACCCTAATCCCTAAACCCCTAAACTGAAGCGAGCTGCGGGCGCTGCGAATAGCAGCAGCGAGCGTGCCGAAGCGTCAGTGAGGCTGGCTCCGGAGCTGGCGCGACAGGCGCAGCGGAGGAGCCCCAGCACCGGCTCAGGTGCTGGCGCATGCGACAGGCATGCTAGCCAATCAGAACAATATGACCCTAAACCTCCAAGCTCGGAGCGCCCCATCCCTTAGGATTTAGGCCGCTTGTCCCGGGCCCCCCCCGGGACAGTTGTCCCAGGGCCCCCCCGAGACAGTTGTCCCAGGGCCCCCCGGACGTCGTCCCGGGTTGTCTCGAGGAGTCGCGGGCCCCCCCGGGACAATTGTCTCGGGCCCCCCCCGGGACGCAGGACCGGATTCCCAGGCCCCCCCCGGGACGCCCCGGGACACCCCCAGGACACTGTCCGGGGCCGCCGGGACGCCAATTGTTTAGGATTTAGGAGAAAGGCTATGCGCCTGCCTGGGTGGGCCGGCCTGGGCCCTCCTCCTGGCCTGGCTGTGGCAGGTCTTGGACCAGGGACTGTTGCGCCCCACCCTCTGCTTGTCCCGGAGGGGCCCGTCCTTCCCTGCCCTGCCTGCCCTGCCCCCTGCTCCTGCTCTCCCTGCTCCCCTGCCCTGCCCTGCCCTGCCCATCCCTGCCCTGCTCTGCCCTGCTGCCCTGTCCTGCCCCGCCCACTGCCCTGCTTGGCCTGATTTTGGGCCACCGCCAGACCAAGCCACAAACCTTGAAAAAAACCCTAAACCCGACAAAGGTCATAGACTGGGTGGGCGGGTAGGGCGAGAGCGTTGAACCTGGGCGCACACCACAACACACGTCTCGCGTGGTGGTGTGCGCGGAGCATCGACACACCCCTAAACCCTAAACCCTAAACCCCTAAACCCTAAACCCTGAATCCGGAACCTTATCAAGCTGAAACCCTGGAGCCCTGAAACTTCTAAACCCTAAGCCCTACATAAACTCTATCAGCGACAAATTAACCTCTTACCCTAAGACTCCAAGTATACAAATAGTACCTACTTTGGGGTCTAAAGTCTATAAATGCTACCTACTTTGGGCTATTTGGAGTCTTAGGGGTATGGAAGCCTATTGTAGAGCTCGTATAAAGCACGAGGACAAAATGCTAAAGGCACCCTTACGTCTCCGAAAGGGGGGCCCTGTTCTGGAACCCTATCGTACCCTTTAAAGGAGCCCTTACAGATCCCTTTTAAAGGGATCTTTTCAGGGATCCCTCAAAGGAGCCCTTATAGGAACCCTTAAAGGTAATCAATAAAGGGATTCCGTAAAGGGATCCCTTAAGGGATCCCCTTGAAAGGAGCCCTTGTAGAGCCCCTTTAAAGGGTGGCGCCTCGCTCCAAGCGCGGTGCAACGCTCCGCGGCTCTCCAAGCGTGCCCGCGCCAGGGACTCGGCCAAGCGCTCTGAGGCCTCCAAGGGGTACAGTTTTTTTTAATTTATGGTATGTATATATATATATATACACATCTTATATATATACATATATTTGTTTATTTATTTATCTATTTATTTATTTCACATTTATTTATTTATTATGTGTATATATAATGTATTATATATATATATATAAGTATACATGTGTTTTTGTGATGGGCCCGTCTCCGATTGCAGGTGCAGCTAGAAATCCTTACCAGGATGAGACTGGCGGTTGGCATAGGTTTTAAGGGTCAGGTTTTTTTGGGGGTGCATCGGGGTTAAGGGCACTCTTTCAGGGATCTATAAGGCTTCCTTAAAGGGATGTGTAGCCCTGCAGGGTTTATAGGGTTTAGGGCTCCTTTGCTGGAGCTGGATCCCGTGAGGGCTCCTTAACGGCATCCGTTAAGAGATCTGACTACCAGACATCATTGGTTTCAGGGTTGAGATCTCCAGGTGTTGCTAGTTGCTTGAAAGGCTTCAAGAGTGTTAAGGGTTCTCGGATGGAAGATTCAAGGGTGCTCCGAGGCTTCTGGGGTTGAGAGCTCTGGTGTTCTAGGGTTTTGAGGGGTTGGGTTTACGGGTTCACAGGTTTCGAGGTCCAGGGGTTGGGGCTTCGGGGCTTTAAGTTTCCCGGGGTTTAGTTAGTTTACGCCTCAGTTCCGGCACGTTGGAGTTCACATGGAGTCTCCATTGCAGTTCCTCATTGGGGTAGTCTTACAAGGTCCTACATGGGAGACTAAGCTTTGTCAAACCAGAAATGGCAACTACAATGGAGACTGTCGGTAGAGCCGTTACGCGCAATCTTTCGTTGAACTCTGGCCGGAGCAAATTATGCAGCTGGTCGTTCTTGTTGTACCGAGCCGTTCCGTTCAGCGGAACTAGGTGTCTCAGAAGTCGATGCTCTGCCAAGCATTGCCGACGCCGCTCTTGCAAATTGTGAGCGCCAGTCTTGCTGTCTCGTTCGCCGACGTGGGCTGAGGCACAATCTTCTTCGTGCAGCACGAGACCTGGACAGCACGGAAGTGCGAAGGAAAGGCCGGCGCATGGCAGTGGCAGCAGATGCAGAAAGCCTGGTGAATGGGTTAGAGGGCTGGTGGGGTGGTGGAGTGGAGTGGGGTGGAGGGTGGGGCTCAAGAAAGCCGGCTCACGACCGATGGCTTTCCAGGCCTGAAATCACGAAGAACTCCTTGTGGGGGGCTAGGGTTGGTGTAGCGGTTGGGGCACAGTAGCAGTAGGATAAAGCCGACACCCCCATCAAGTCAGTCGCCCTAGTGTGTGTGTGTGTGTGTGTGTGTGTGTGTGTGTGTGTGTGTGTGTGTGTGTGTGTGTGTGTTTTGTGTGTGTGTGTTTGTGTTGCTGAGTGACACTGACTTCGTCTGTGCAGCGTCCAGCTCTCCATGGATCTCTACAGCACGACTTCTCTTTGCCTACAACCTAGGGCCACCTAGGGGCAGTCATGCTTAGAATAGGCTTTGAACTTGAAGGTTTGTAAACCTAAACACCTAAACCCTAACCATAAGATACCCATAGGCCCCAAAGTAGTTCCTTTTTGGGATTACCCTTTAGGATTCTATATATATATATCTATATATATATATATATGTATGTATATATATATATATATAAATTATGAACCCCAAAAAGGAACTACTTTGGGGCCTTTGGGTAGTTACCCTCTAAGTCTTGATCTTTCCCCGGCCTCCTTGCGCAGTGCTTCGGTGCTTCTCGCCAGAACCACCTCACCGACCCAGGCCTGAAAGTTATCTTGGAGTTGCGGGCTGTAACATTAGGGCCTTACCTAAACCTCCCAAAGTAGGTAAAATAATGGCCCAATACCCATAAAAGGCTGTTATTTTACATACTGTGGGGGTCCAGGTAATAACTAGAATAGGATTTTGCGGCCCAGAATTCTATAGTTATAACAAGGAGCCCCCAAAATAGTATTGGTAATTATTTTGGCCCCTATAGTAAGGGTGTGGGGTTGAGGGTTCAAGGCTAGCAGGTTTGAGGGGAAAGGCGCTGCGGGCTTAGCGCCACAAAGCGTGTCGGGTTGAGGGTTTTGGGTCTAAGGCTGGTAACAGCAATAGTCTCTCTAAATTTATGTGTGTAAACGACAACAACTCTATATACTAATAAACATACAAGATAACAAATGTGCATGTACGTTTATACAATATCTACACATACATCACACAAGATGTTGCCATACACATTTTTTACACACATAGACATAGACATACAAAGCGGCAATGCTAAGCCCCAAATCTAAGGGATTCGTACCCAAGGGGTTCAAGGGTTTCGAGATTTACAGTAAGTTTACGGTTTAGACAATGTTTCTTCACCAGGCTAACCGAATGTCTGGTCGTTCTTGTTTCTCGCCTTCGGGTTTGAGCTTCGGGCTATGATTCTAAAACATCACGCCATAATGTAAGCCGTAAACCCAATGGTAGTAAATCATTGGCTTTGCATGATAGAGTGAACCGCGCACCACTTCCGGAAACGCAAGGTCGATCAATGCCAGAAGTGGTGTTTAATATGATCCACTGCTCTATGCCCAGGTTCACTGTCTGCATCGTGCAGTAATGGATAGCTCCAGAGCGTCCAAGTACCCAAATAGTAGGGTTTCAAAGTCCAAAAACCATTCAGAGTATGGATTTTGGGACCTGAAACCCTACTATTTAGGTACTTGGACCCTCTGGGAGCTTTTTTTCTGGCCATTCTCGGGCCCGTTGCGCGGACAAACTGCTGCCGCCTGGCAAGCTTCGGGAGAAATCCCGTGATCCGTCTCGGCACCACGTAGTTCCCAAGAGCATGGTTTAGGGTTTAGGGTTTAAGGTTTAGGGTTTAGGGCTTAGGGAACTGTGCTGGAGACAGCCGAGGAGAGATTGGAAAGGCCTCAGACCGGGTGTACCTGCAGAACTATATCTTCAACTTCAAACTCGAAGCCCTACGCCCAACGTCCAAAACTCTAAACCGGGATAGAACCCTGAATACCAAAGAGTGCTTGGTTTCAGGTTTCCATGGGTTACCGTAGATAAGCGTGAAGGTTTGGGGTTTACGATATACAGGTTTGAGGGCTTGGGTGTTCAAGACGGCGTCAGCACGCCAAACCTTGATATTCCCACTATTCCCAAAACACCAAACTCACATAAACCGTAAAACCCCAAGCCTACACCGCAACCACTTTACCTTTAAACCTCATAAAACTACATTAAACATCGGAAGCCCTAAACCCTAAAACTTGGACCCTAAACCTAATTGAACCCTGAACTCTGAACCCTAAACCCAAAGCCTTTCTGATTCCAAAACTAGACCCAAGAGTAACCTAGGAATAAAAAGGGTGCCTCCTCAACCCTTAAAAAGGGAATAAGGGCCTACTCTGGGTCCTAGAAAACTCGAAACTCGACCGGGACCAGCCAGGCGGCTTTCATGCAGGCCAAAAGCGCAGCGAGCTCCTGTGATCCCAGAGACTCCAATACCCCTTAATTAGGGAATATTCCTTAAATCATAGTAGGATCCTTAATATGATTTAAGGAATATATTCCCTAATTAAGGGGTATTGGAGTCTCTGGGATGGGAGGCCAAAAGGGGTGTTTAAGGTTCTTGGGGTAGGGATTCCTTAATATGAACCCTATTATGGGAACCCTAATCCCTACTAAACCCCCATAGGCTAAAACCCTTTTTGGCCTCCAGTGATGAGCATCCCAGCGTTCCGGTTGCGGCGGTAAGGGGTATACGGTATAGAGTTTACGGTTGAGGGTATAGGGTTTAGGGTAAGGAATTTCGCGGCTTCCTTTGGAGCGTAGGGTTTCCGTGTTTTTTTCTGTTGCTGTTGCTGTTGCCGCGGCTGTGGCTGCTGCTGATGATGACGGTGCTGATGACGATGATGGTGTTGTTGTTAGCGCTTCGGGATTTGTTAGTCAGGGTCAGGCTTGTTGTGACGGCTGCTGCCGTTGTTGTTGCAGTAGTTTCTTCCGCTTATGGCAATAACTGTAGATGCCCGGCAGGCTACCCGCTGAAAAACCTTATAATCAGTAGAAGGATCGAAGAAAAGACAGACTCACAAGCAGAGGTTAACTGCAAGCCATGCAGGGCTTCCACATGAACTGCCAGGATGCTTGCAGAACAGCATTCCACATTGTCACACCCAACCGGGAGATACCTTGCTCGCACTAGACAAACACACACACACACACACACACACACACACACACACACACACACACACACACACACACACACACACACACACACACACACACACACACACACACACACACACACACACACACACACACACACCCTGTAAACCCCAACCCGCACATCAACACACTGACAGTCTACCCAAAACCCACATATCTTCCTTCGTTGACGCACATCAACACACGGAAAGTCTACCCAAAACCCCCCATGTCTTGCTCCGTTCAGGGTTGAGGGAATGCCTAAACCCTGAGGGTCCAAGTACCTAATAATCATATACTCTCCAAAATAGTAACCTCCACAACTACTATCCCCAAACCCAAGTACCTTATTATTGGGTCCTTTGGACCCTTAGGGAAAGCCTTAACCCAAAACCGCAGTCCTCCCCGCGCTTTGCTGCATTCTCATGGCGTCGGGAGATGTTATCCACCCGGGCCTGTCGGGGCAGAGAGCTACATTGGCGAGGACCATCGACACCATCGCGCTCTTACCAAAAACTCCCCTGAACCCCTAAACCCCAGAAGGCTAAACCCGATAAGCCCTAAACCCCTGATCCCTACACTGCTACCCCCTCAGCCCCCAAGCCTGAAACTCTACACATATCCTACTTGTCGGGTATCATGGGGAACTAAAGGTTAACATTTTTGGTTATATCGAAGTTATATAGGGACTATACTACCCGAAAAAGGCTAGAGGTTGCTACTAGGTTATACGCGGGCCTCAGGGAACCTGCGAAGTAGATGGACCCAGATCTTCTAGGCGAGGTTTAACCGGTTTAGGGTATATAGGGTTTAGTGTTTAGAGCCACCCCCGCAGAGGAAAGGGGCCTGCGAATGTCCTGGGTTTGGGGATTAAGGGTCCAGGGTTTGGGGCTCAAGGGTTTTAGGGTGTAGGGTAGAGGGTTTTGGGTTCAAGGATGGGAGAGTCGATTCACTGGAAGACACCACTACCGGGGGAAACGGCGCAAGTCTCGGGCATTTGGGCTTCAGGGCCTCCTCTGCTTTGGAGTCCAATTGCCCGAGACCCAAACCTGTGGACCCCAACTTCAAAAGCTACAGGCCCTAAGCTATGGAAGCCGAGAACAGAAGCCGGAAACTTGCTGTGACCTAAACTCTGTACCCCAGACCCTAACCTCGAAAGCTGAAATGCCTGAGTCATGCAAGCCGAGAACATAGACCATAAACGCTATAACAAACCCATAGTCCTAGACTCTGAGACACAAAGATCCCCAAAGACATCCAAGATGAACTCCACTTAGAGTGCACAGGGCTTTCAAATACTATTCGGCTCAGGGCTGGAGGTTCGGGCCATGCAGGGATTAATTAGGTGGTTTGTTCTTGCTTTGCTGGGCTCGGTTTTGGGGCTGTAAAACCTTTAGGGTTGAATGGTTTGGGTTTAGGGCTTTATGTTCCTAAACCCTAAACCCTAAACCCTAAACCGGTCAGCTTGCTTGCCGGCCTCCCGACGTGCGGCTGCGGCAGCGGCCATGCGGGCGTTTGAAGCCTCGTGAACATATTCGGCCTTCTGGCTTTCTAGCGAACCCCCCAAAAAATTGGAACATCGACGAAGGATGTTTATCGCTAGGATTCCCTATAATTACTTTACTTTGAGAGCCCATGGGGAAAATTTGATGCTCCAAGTTTCTGGGTTCAGGCTTTCGGATGTCGCTGAATGAAGTTTGAAGCCCACTGGGCTTGCAACCATTTAGGGCTCACCCTAGGCATCTAAGGACTCGTATATTGAGGCTTTGGGGCCCAAAGACCATACTCTGTAAGGCTGTTGGGCTGTTTTGATGTCCAGGCTTAGGGATCAGATAGGGTTTTGGGGATTGTCAAAGGGGAACAGGAGGGACCCTTGATGGGGACCCCTTACCATAATGGGCGATATAATGGGTATATAATGGCTATATCAAGGGTATATACCTAGGGGTCCCTATTAAGGGTCCCTCCCTTTACCCTTTGCGATTCCGCTGTAGAATTGCAGTGGGGTAGCAAAAGACGAAACACGAGAAAGACGGGCCCGCAACAGCGGCCCTTTCTGAATATATAGGAGTTTCCGAAAATTAGGGGTACCTTATTTGGGGGTCCTTGCAATGAGGATCCTACTTTTAGGGTACTCTATTAGGGTCCCCTATTTTCGGAAACCCCCATATAACGGTTCATGATTTAGGCGAAGGCTTTGTGTTCAGTTTGTTTGTCAGTTTCGCGCAGGTCTACACGTTGGTCTCTCATTGCGAGCCGCCGGTTTCAAGGTCTCAAGAGATGAAGGTCTCGGAAATCACGATTAGGTGGATTTACGATGCTGGGTTTTGGGTTTGGGGTTGCTTAGGCCTGAGAGCTTCGGGTTCAAGGGTAGTTTAGGCTGCCGGGATCTACCACCAGACCACAGCACGATTTAGTTATTTCAGAAATTACACGGATTTGGGATTCTGCGTTAAGCACTACCCAAAACTAAGTGATCGGACCTTGGTGTCTGCCCCTAAGGGTCCATGTACCCAAATAGTATATAGTTCGGCCCAAAAGTACCTATATAAGGGGCTACTTTGAGGAATGATTACATAACATGCTCCTTAGGGTTCCTTCTTACAGCTACACTACCCTCAAAGAAGACATGGACCCTCCGGGCGAGGAACTTTCCTTGCTCCGTTGCCCTCTAGATCGAAGGAGCGGCTCCAAAGCTTCATGGTTCGGGTCTTGTATGGCTTAGGCTGTAGAGAAGATGTCATACCCCTTCAGGCGTCATATATTCTATCTATGTTTTCGGAGTATTATATACCATTATGGTGTATTCCTGAGTTCGCCTGGAGGTTTTGGGCTCTCTGCAATGGCCTGAAGACTTCGAGCAGTGTTCGGTGTCTGCGATGATCGGAGAGTTGAGGCTGCTTAAGGGCCTAGCATAAGGGTCTTAATAATTGGGATCGGGCTTTGGGTCCCATTATACCATACTTATAATAAGAAACACCCCCCAAAGTAGTGTTGGTAACTATTTAGGCGCCTGTAGTCTAGGGGTTTGTTCCGGCTCCTACATCAAGGGCCCCCTACGGTGCAGCCATGTGGAAGACAAACTGCGAGACTTCAACCCGCCACCACCGAATCCCTGAAACCTTAGGGACTTAAGGGGCGCTAAACCCTCAACCCTTCACCAGAATCCCATTCTGCAGCCCACCCACCCGAGCATCCTCCGGGTACCCTTGGGCTCCAGCTTCTTTCTTCAACTCTGCGTTCTCCTCGCAGATGGCTCAAACCACGCAAGGATGCAAAGGGCCGTGTAAGGTTCAGGGTTTACAGTTTGGGGTTCGGGTTTGGGGTGCTATATGAAGGTTGCAGTAAGTAGTACAGAATACAATCCCTTGAATCCCTTAACCTTACTGCAATATGGAGGAATATCGTATATAGTTATATGGTGTATATCTCCAAAACCCTAAACCTAAACCCAGACACCCGTACTCATGTCCAGGATCCCTACATGGGAGTTTCCGATAAGTAGGGGACCCTGGTACAGCACCCTAAATACTAGGATCTTACTATAAGGACCCCAAACTAAGGTACCCCTAATTTTCGGAAACTCCCATATCAAGGACACAGAAGAGTGTACCAACAGGAAGACTCGAGTTCTCAAAGAAGTGTTCCCAGAAACAAGCGCGTCCTCATGCCCGTTTCAGAGCACGAGAGGCCTTCTTTATGTGACGTGGATGTGTAGTATAGCGTAGTGCAGTATAGTATAGTATCGTATGATATACTATAGTAGGCTAGTATAGTATAACTCAGGAATCCCCTTTACAACAAGGACACTCTATGTTTGCCCCTTGCAACCTTTGGGCTCCACCTAGGGCAATCTCGGCACTATGGAAACTGCAGATTCCGCATTTGGTAGTATAGGAGGGGCCTTAATCATTGGAGTCGGGTTTGGGGGATTGTTTAATATACCATAGTTAGTAATACTTAATACGGAAATCCCCGCAAACCCAGCTCGAATTATTGAGGCCGCTACATTACTGGTTGTATGCTTGCAGGCGTACCTAGTTATCTAAACGACTACATTCCGGGGGTCTAGAAAGGAAACGAGTTACGCCCTAAGCCCGACCCTAAACCCCTAACCCCCTAAACCCTACACCCTACACCCTAAACCCCTAAACCCCCAAAACCCACACCCCTAAACCCTACACCCTAAACCCCTTAACCCTACACCCTAAACCCCTACACCCTAAACCCCTAAACCCTTAGCCCCTAAACCCTACACCCTAAGCCCCTAAACCCCTAACCCCCTAAACCCTAAACCCCTAAACCCCTAAGCCCCTAAACCTTACACCCTAAGCCCCTAAACCCCTAACCCCCTAAACCCTACACCCTAAACCCCTAACCCCCTAAACCCTACACCCTAAACCCCTAAGCCCCTAAACCCCTAAACCCTACACCCTAAACCCCTAAGCCCCTAAACCCTACACCCTAAGCCCCTAAACCCCTAACCCCCTAAACCCTACACCCTACACCCTAAACCCCTAAACCCCTAAACCCTACACCCTAAACCCCTAAACCCCTGAACCCTACACCCTAAACCCCTAACCCCCTAAACCCTACACCCTAAACCCCTAACCCCCTAAACCCTACACCCTAAACCCCTAACCCCCTAAACCCTAAACCCTAAGCCCCTAATCCCTAAACCCCTAAACCCTACACCCTAAGCCCCTAATCCCTAAACCCCTAAACCCTACACCCTAAGCCCCTAAACCCCTAACCCCCTAAACTCTACTCCCTAAACCCCTAACCCCCTAAACCCTACACCCTAAACCCCTAAACCCTAAACCCTTAACCCTACATCCTAAACCCCTAAACCCCTAAGCCCCTAAACCCCTAACCCCCTAAACCCTACACCCTAAGCCCCTAAACCCCTAACCCCCTAAACCCTAAACCCCTAAACCCTACACCCTAAGCCCCCAAACCCCTAACCCCCTAAACCCTACACCCGAAACCCCTAACCCCCTAAACCCTACACCCTAAGCCCCTAAACCCCTAACCCCCTAAACCCTACACCCTAAACCCCTAAACCCCTAAGCCCCTAAACCCTACACCCTAAGCCCCTAAACCCCTAACCCCCTAACCCCTAAACCCCTAAGCCCCTAAACCTTACACCCTAAGCCCCTAAACCCCTAACCCCCTAAACCCTACACCCTAAACCCCTAACCCCCTAAACCCTACACCCTAAACCCCTAAGCCCCTAAACCCCTAAACCCTACACCCTAAACCCCTAAACCCCTAAGCCCCTAAACCCTACACCCTAAGCCCCTAAACCCCTAACCCCCTAAACCCTACACCCTAGACCCTAAACCCCTAAACCCCTAAACCCCTAAAACCCACACCCCCAAACCCTACACCCTAAACCCCTAAACCCTACACCCTAAACCCCTAAACCCTAAACCCCTAAACCCTACACCCTAAACCCCTAAACCCTACACCCCAAACCCCAAAACCCTAAAACCCCCAAGCCCCTAAACCCTAAACCCTGAACCCTAAACCCCTAAGCCCTAAAGCCCTAAACCCTAAGCCCCTAATCCCTAAACCCCTAAACCCTACACCCTAAGCCCCTAATCCCTAAACCCCTAAACCCTACACCCTAAGCCCCTAAACCCCTAACCCCCTAAACTCTACTCCCTAAACCCCTAACCGCATCCGAAGTCTCCTTCTCCAAGGCAGCGAGCTGCTCCGAGCTTTGTACACGGACCTGTCACGGAACCGCTCACCCCTAGGGACCCTTAATTTGGGTTTAGGGTTTAGGGTTTAGGGTTTAGGGCACCCTAAACCCTAAACCTTAAACCCTAAACCTGTTTCTTATTATAAGTATAGTATAATGGGACTAAAAGCCCGATTCCAATGATTAAAACCCCTACAACCCAGACCTTCCAAAATCCCTTAGTTAAGGAATATATAGCTTAATTCATATTTGGGATCCTATTATAATTTAAGGTATATTCCTTAATTAAGGGATTTTGGAAGGTCTGGGAATCCAAGCCCTACGGTTGATAATATGGGTCCCTTTTGGGGTACCCTAATTTAAATATTAGCTGCCGTACTATTTTAGGGACCCCAAAAGGAACCAGAATTTTAACAACTACCCATATAAATCCTGCATTACCAGTAAGAAGGAATATACCATAAATCCCATAGTCTAGGGTCCCTAAGGTAATGCAGGATTTACATCATCAACAGTACCAGCATTTACGGAACCTCAAACCCCGTTATCTTATCGGGTGCTGATGAAAAACAACCCGAACCACCGAAACAGAGACGGCTCTTTGCATTGCCTCGGCATGTCGGTTTGAAGTTGCAGTGAGGTAACTGGCCTGTTAGGAGCTACCCCTAAACCCTGTAAACCCTAAACCCCGGACTCTAAGACTCTAAGCCCTAAGCCCCAAACCCTCTGCAACACTGAAGCCAGAAACCCCTGTGAGCCCTAAACCCACGAATTCAGCGCAGCTCTTGGGTATGTATCCTGTCCCAATCCCCGCAGTACCTCTATATGCGAAAACACAGTTACTTGAAATCCTCAAAGTTGCCACAACGGTGGTTCTTTGCAATGGCAGACTCAAGAACAGTGACAGGAATACCACAGTGCCAGAAGTAGTAGGTCGGAAGGTCAGGACCAGACCAAGTGGTTCCCGTGAAAGTCCCGAAGGACAGCCATGCCACAGCCCAGACCTTCCAAAAATCCCTTAATTAAGGAATATGTACCTTAATTTGGGATCCTATTAGAATTTAAGGTATATTCCTTAATTAAGGGATTTTGGAAGGTCTGGTACCAGCTGCAGGCTGCCAACTCAAGACAGAGGTCACATCCATGATAAATGGCAGCAGCTTTCTAAAACCAAGAGGTCCAAGTATCATCGTAGTACATACTTTTAGGCCCCAAGTATCTACTACGAGCTTACTATATTGGTACTCGGACCCTTTAGGTTCTTCACCAGACTCAAAAAATCCAAAATCTCCACGCTTTCAAGATCTTCCAAGATCTTCAAGCTTTGTGGAAAGAGCGGTGGGCTGCTCAGAAGCCCAAGTTTAGTTTATTGTTTACTAGGTGGGGCTTTTAAAGCCTTTGAAAATATTAGTAAATAGGATCCTCTTATTCCCAATAAGGGAAAATATAAAATGTCCCAAAGCCCTACCTAGGTTTAGGGTTTGGGTTTAGGGTTTAGTGTCCAAGGTTTAGGTTTAGGCTTCGTGTTTAGGTTTTATAAGGCTTAGTGTCCAGGGTGTGGGGTTTAGGGTTTTATAGGGTTTAGTAAACCCTAAACCTTAAAGAGTGCTCAGAGATCCTTCACTCGGATGGAAGGCACGAACTTCCATGCAAGAACTGTGGTAACAGCCCAAGTACCATGGAAGGCCAGCATTGCCATCGTACCGCGGTCTCCCAAAAACTGCCCATTCTGGACCAAATAGAAGTCCACCATCATGCTGGCAAAGAAAACCAGAGAGGTTGAGGCTACAATCCCGGCGGAGAGCAGAACATCCAAGCAAGGTATGCAACATTGAGTCTGTAGTTCAGAGCACAGCCGAAGCCCGATCTTGGCAAGGCATGGTGCCACGAACAACCACATGGTCAAGCCCTGACACAGTTCGACGACGGTCTTCTCTACAGAGCTTTGAGCGGCTGCAACGGTGAAATATATCCATAAAGCAGGCGTGCACATCTCCAAGATGCGACGGTATTGAAATGCTTCTTGCGTGAGCTGATGCACAAGAAGTGTGCGCAGCTCAGACTGGACGCATTGCTCAAAATTCTCTATAGACCCAAACCATGCGGATATGCATGGAACAATCCTGAGTTCACAGCTGCTTTGAACAAAACACTACCTGATTTAATGCATGAAAGGAATCGACAACTATACCAAAGCAAAACCGAGAATCACATCGCGGTCACACAACATGAGCCCGTCGCATTTATGCTGTGAGCAACACTCGCATACAGCTTGATCAATTGCCTGGGTCATGCATTATATAACACCCAGCATCCTGCCCATGCGCTTAGCAGATTATACAGACGTACGACAGAAAAAGTTGCCCAAAAGGTCGACGCAGTCGCGAATGTGGCTAGCTGATGCTGCATCACGCAGATGTCGCGGCAGTACCCTCTTACCTGGGCAGTGCTTTAACCCCGTTCTGAGTTAAGTCAGTTGCTATTTCAAAGACCATCTCGCTACTTACCCCAATGCAGTGCATGCACACCTGCTTGGCGGTTCGTAAGTAAGGTAAGTATATTTATAACCCTATTAGTGTATGGGGGACTTAGAACCGCACTTAACCTACCCATGAACCTGCAAGTGTGCAACATGCAGAAGCTTTGCGCAGATGCAGGTTCCGCCCAGATCACGATGTGAAGCTTAAACCTGCAATGCTTATGCACAAGCCCCGGTAATGCCCGGTAATGTAGGAACCTGATTGATTAAGAAACCCTGGGCCTATAACCCCAAGAAAGTAGGATTCATAAAGGCCCAAGATTTCTTAATCAGGTTCCTACATTATGTGCATATGCGTCTGCACATGTTGAGTGACAGCTTTAGGGGTTGATAGGCTGCCAGTGAATCTGAGCCACCATGTATCAAACTAAGGCAGATGGGAACGCCGAGATGGTATTTCACTACTAGCGACAATCATGCGCAAGGGTCTATAGCAGGAAGACCTCGAAGCCAAACAAGGCAAGAAATTGCAGCGTGTGCGAAAACAGGTACGGTATGTGCTAGCCGGGTAAACCCTAAGCCCTCAGCCAAAAACCTTAAACCCCGTAACCCCATGAGCCCTACTATTAGGCCCAGGCACGGTATGTGCTAGCAGGGTCAAGCTTGCGACGAAAGCAGCGCCGAATGCAATCCAGAAGGCCGGCGATGCAAATCCGAGCGAGTTTCCTCTTCAAGTTCTCTGGGGAAGGAATCTTAGTGTTTAGGGTTTAGATTTAGGGCTTAGGGTTATAGGGCTTAGGGTTTATAAGCTTAGGAAATCTATGTACAGGCTCAGTTCGAGGGGCCTCTAAATCAAAAACAAGACAAGGAGTCGGATCCCCGCTTCCTGCCGCCAGGAACATAGCGGCCATGAGGGCGACGCCCAATTCGCCACCCAAGAATGCGGGACCCAAAAAGGGCGGGCAAACGGTGATTGTCGGCTTCGTGCTTCGTTCACGGCTATGTAAGAAAGCGCCCAGTTCCTTGGTGGCCCAGCCGAACACAAGTTCTAATACCATTCTGGTGGCTCCTTACTTTCTATACCCCGAAACCCTGTTCTAATCATAACGGCCCCTAAAGTAGGCGTTACTGAGGGCTACCAAGGAGCGAAGACGCACCACAACCTGGCCACATAGGTCCGGTGCCATAGTACCAGCATAGACCTCGATCCCTTCAGGATGGCGCCCATACTGATAAGGCCCAACATCTTCTCCTGCCTGTCATGCTGGTTGATGCACACAACGTCAAGGAAAACAAGTCTTCGCCCGCGGGTGAGCAACAGAGCCGCGCAATATGCCACCGTTCCACAGACCACAGACCATATGTTTCCTAGTCCCAGTAGTGCGGAGCTCATGTCGGGCAGCGCTTCGAGCTCGTAAAGAGCATATGCGAGAATTGCAGCGAGCGTGCCCACTACCGAGGCCACGAGATTGTTGTTCAAGAAGAGCACGTTGAGGTATTTGGCCCAAGCGGAACCGCGCCAGCTGTGAGACCAGAACTCGTCTAGTTGAAGTCCTGATGCTTCGCTGAGGCTGTACAGCGAGTCCACTCTGCCTCGCAACCACCACCAGGGCAAATGCTGAAGACCCTGTGCCACCCACATGCCTCGAATCAAATCTGGTCTTACAGCCTCCATGGAAATGTACACATCACGCAGCCGCTGAAGAATCAAGTCAGCAGTTTCAGCCTCAGGAGGACTCTCCTCACAGGGCTTCCCCACGGGCACTGGAACATCATCATATCCAGGCACGAAGAAAGACATGGCTGAACACCAGAGGCGAAGCTATTGCCAACGCCATTTAAGCCTGAAGGTGCTTGCCAAAAACCTCCGGAACTTCGATCCACCAACCCTGTTTCGATGTCCGGTACAATGTAGAGGACTAAATGGTTGCTAAGACTAGTCCTTAGGGTAGTGGTTTTCCTCTACAGTATATACTCCAGAAGCCTGTTCTATATATTTAGTTATGTGTAATAGGGACCCTCGTTTCCGCACGTGAAAAGCATCTCAACAGCTATACTGGGTTCTTCTTAAGGAGTTGAATTTAAGCTACCATAAAAAGAAGCCATATTCATGTCCTATAGATCCCTCTGATGGTAACTTACGATAAACCCCTTAACAAGAAACCTTAGACTCTAAACCCTAAACCCTGAACCCATTAATCCCTAGGCCCTAACCCCTAAACCTAGTATAACGGCCATGAGCCGGGCAACCATCCCCGTGCCTTGGCTCCTACGAATATTGCCCGTGCTGCGGCCGTAGCGTCCAAGGATTAAGGTGTAAGGCTTTGGGGTTTAAGGCTTTAGGGTTGAAGGTGTTAGGGTTTAGGCTTTAGGGTCTGCTGCTACAGGTCCCAGTGCTGCGGCGGCGAAGACTGGCTACGACCCGGTTCTACCAGGAAAGCCCGAGGCAGCATGGTCTGAAGCTTTGAGTTTGTCAATTTCAGTGTAGAGGGAGTTGAAACTTCGTAGGGGGAACCCAAACGGAAAGCAGAAGTGCCAAAGCGAACCTCCGTGAGCTGCTGCTGAGCTCTTTTAGCAGCCTCTCGATGGACGAGAAGTTGGGGTGGAAAGGTTTAACGTTGAGAATTGAGGGCTTGAGGGATGTTGGGGCATCTCAGATGTTAAAGGCTTAGGCTTGTTAGCTGTTGAAGCCCTCAAACCTAACCTGAAGCCATCGAGTCCTGCGTGGGTTTTGGCCGGCCTTCGTGCTCTTCCGGCTCCTGCTCTGCTTTTGGGGTTTAGACCCATAATGAAATGTGTGTGTTGATGACCCCGAGGTATAGTTCATGATTCCTACGGAACACCCAGTAGCTACTAAGCGTTTCGCATGCTAAGTTGGACTTGGGGGCATGGAGCTCTTTACTTAGTTGGGTCTCCGGTTTGCGGTCACCCCAAAGGATACCAACCGATAAGATTCCCGCCCCTCCCAACCAGATGCTAAATGCCTTACTAGTTTGAGCGATGGATTTGCAAAGGCTGCAAAGGAAGATCACTACTAACTGACGATGACGAGGTGGTGACGATAATTGTGGCGATCGTGCCTCACCAACTAAAGCGTAACGGCTTTTTCCGCTCATCAAACTGGTTAGCATTGGGGTGTGCTTTCGTTGTGTCGCTTCTTGGAGAGTCAGTCTGCCATCTGCAGTCACTGCAGCCCCATGTTCCTGCAGCTTCTGCTGTCACCTTGCAATCATAGCTTCTTGCGGCCCATGCAGCCGGAGCAGTGGGAAGGGGAATGCTCTACTTGGAGGTTCATGGGTAGCTAGAAGTAGGGCTGTAAGTCCCCTAATAAGGGTTACTAGTATAGTTGCTTACTTATAACCCTACTTATAACCCCACTTATAACTACCCATGAACCTCCAAGTATAGTTCGACTCATACTCCCCGGCAGGTTTTTGCCCCAGGTGCCCTAGGCTCGACCGCCAGCCAAAAGCAACAAGGGAATTTCCGAAAATAGGGGACCCTAATATAGTACCCTAAATAATTGGATCCTTATCATAAGGACCCCCAAATAAGGTAACACCCCCTCAATTCTCTGAAACTCCTTTTGCAAAACACAGCCTAACCATGTTCACGGAACGTGCTTTTGGGATTCGGTGCCGCAGGTTTTTAACCGACCTCCGCCTGCATTTTCGGAAGAGGCTATATGCGACACAAGCTGGTTTGGGTTGGCCGGCCGAATACGGATTCTGTCCTAGATCTTACGGAGACCACCACCACCACAACGACGGCACTACGACCACTACTGCTACCACCATCGCTGCCACCACCGCTGCTGGCTGCTGCTGTTGCTGCTCCTCCTCCCGCTCCTGCTCCTCCTCCGCTCCTGCTCCTGATACTGCTACCGATACTGCTCCTGCTACTCCTCCTGCTGCTACCGCCACCAAGACTAAGGTGCTGGCGTGTGCTCGCTGTTGCAAACTCTAACAATAAGCATGTTAATATGACAATGGCTCTGTGTCTAACCTTAAAAGCCTACTACTAAAACCACATCTAAGCCCCGAAAGTGAAAAGGCAAGCCCCAAAATCCTAAACCCAGTTATCCCAAGCCCTAAACCCGAAACCCTAAACCCAAAGCTCAGGACGCCTCCCCGGAATTCAGCAACACCTCCCCTGGTCGAAGTCGCCGAGAAGTCTTGCCGGAATCCACCTCCGTAACTGCAGGGATTCCTTCGATAGGGGCCTTCAGAATGAGCACCTATGGTTTCAAAAGTAGGAATTACTGTTATGGATTGGGTAATTATGTAATAATCCCCCATATAGAATAAGAACAGGGTTCCTGTCATAGGATTGAGATGTACATCGAAGTCAAGAATCTCCCACTTCGCGGTCGCAGGGCGAGGCTTCAATGGCGTTGAAGGAGGGGACAGGGGCTGTGTGCTGCTGACGTCTGTTGAAGTTGTTGATCTTCGCGGTTTCTCTGCAGCATTGCCCATAGCTGTAACCCCGGATTCTTTACACCCAAACAAACTTTAGACCTTTTATGGTATCCTTATGGGTCCCTTATAGTAGCCCTGAAAGACTCCCTTCAAAGGGAACCCTACTCCTAAACCCTAAACCGTAGACCTGTGAAAACCAAAGCAGGAAACCCAGTGCACTGCAATCGTTCAGCCCAGAGCCCTTAGAAACTCTAGACCCCTACATCCTACATGAAGCAAAGCACAAAGGGTCCTAAGCACCTATGGTTTCAAAAGTAGGAGTTACTGTTATGGATTGGGTAATTATGTATCCCCCGTACAGGTACCTAGGGCCCGTTGGGAGAGTTGGGCGTGGACCGCAGTGCCAGGATGTACGTAAAAGTCATGGGACTTTCTGATTCCAAGTCCGGTTCGAACTGCGCCGTTGGCTCATGGCTTGAGTTGGAAAGCACCGGCCTCAGGAAATACACTGATGTAGGGGCCTTTATTAATGAGCATAGGGTTTGGGGGTATATTATAGAATACTTCTAATAAGGAACCCCCAGGACCCTTTTCTAAACAGTAAGGCCCCGACACTAAACTACGGCAAGTTGTGTTTGGGGTTCTGACCTGAGAAGTTCAGGCTACGAGCTGCAGGTTTGTAATTACATGGAGGTGCATGGGTAGTAAAAGCGGGTTACAAGTAAGGTAACTATACTTATAACTTATAACCCTTAGGAACTTATAGTCCCACTTATAACTACCTATGAATCTCCAAGTAATTACAAGTTTCAGGGGATCCCCAGCATGAAGCCCAAAACCTGAAAGCTAAACACCTTCCAGGACCCCCCAAGGGCCGTTTAATTGAGACCTTATGGTCCTCAACAGCGGGTATTTGCGGCGTTTCAGTGGGTAGTTAGGAGCCGATCGAATCATAAAGACTCGCTTAAAGTTTACGCCGATGAAGCCAGTGGCAAGATCCGACAGTCAGACACCGCCAAGATCTAAGGACCCACAAGCCTGCCGGCGCCAGGCCGAGAGAACTTGGGCACAGGACAGCAGACCCTGACCTGGCCCACGCGATGTGTGACTTAATGTTCAGCCCAGAGCTTGAGGGTGCTGGTAGTGATGGAGTTTAAACTCGAAGTTGTAGGCTTTGGGGGTTTCGGGTTTTAAAACCCTAAGAGCTCCCACAGAAACATCGCCGGCGCGGCGATGAGCTGCAAGCTCCGCCTGTCTCCTTCCCACGCTGCGGAAGGCCTTTGCGGAAAAAGGGAAGGGCGGGGTTTATGGCGAAGGGGTTAGTGGTTCAAGGGTTAGGGCTCTCGGGGTTAGGGGTTTGGGATCGGGTCTCACTGCACGGGTTTTGGAGGTTGGGGGGTTTAGGGTTTTAGAGTGAGGGTTTATGAGTTTCGGGTTTATGAGTTTAGGGAATCCAAAGGATAAAGTTGGAGCGCGGGCTGCTGATGATTAGTGCTCATAAAGGTTTTTGTCTTGTATTGAAGTTTACATGGTCTTCGAACAAGAGTTGACATACAATAATTTGTGAGTCCAGCGTTCTACGTTTAGTAACTTAGGGCTTCGGAGTATCAGGATTGTGAGCTAACTGGTTGGGGTACATACCTTGAACTAGGAAATCCTAGCATATTGTAGGGTCCCTTCAAAATTCAATAAGGTAGGGCTCAAGGGGTGTGAGGGTTTAAGTCTGTGCATGCATGGCAGTGTGGGGTCGCGGGGGTGCGGGACGTGGTGTCTCACCTGCTGGTAAATCATTCGAAGCTCTTGAATCATCAGGTTTGCCAGCTCCTGGGTGGTGTGGTTTCCGGTCCGTGCTCATCCAATATCCCCCCAAATAGGTCACAGGAATCTCGCCTTGCCTTAGTTCATGCTCGAAAGGAATCTCGCGGTCTGCACTGCAGGCCAACAGTGATAGTCTATTCATTCACCCATCCTTACATACACGCATCTATGCATGCTGAACATTCATTTCAACCACTTTTGGATTCAGCTTATGAACTAGTGCACTCTAGCTCAACCCCTCCACTTAGATGCACATCCGTTATGCAATATTCCTCTCCCATCCGCACCCCCGGTAAACCCAAGACCTCCCTGGCACCCCGCGGGCCCCCCCGGGTGCCTGAACCTCCGCTCTCGCCGTGCGTAGCGCTGCAGTGGAGCTGTGATCCGTCTGGGCGGGATGAGGGTTGAACAATTAGAATATGGTTCTGGGTTCCTGTTATGGTAGTTAGAGAAGGAGCCCTGCGGAACAATTTTAGTAACGAAATAGAGGCTTGTACATTACAGACCATGCATAAGGGTGTATGTGCCCAAATAGTATAAACTGTTCGTCGATGTCGCCCCTGCA